TTGCGCTTTATTTTTGTGATTTTTCAACAAAGCTGACTATGACGTTGCCGGTCTGTAGGACGGTGAGCAAGCAGTGCGTCAACACGCAGAGATAGGCAGGCGAAACCGGCGCAATCGTTACCATACCTTTTCAACTTCAAGTGAATCCGTTGTAACTTCAAGCGAATCCAACCAATCGCATCCCATTGGGAACCCCACAAGATTATTGGTGTTTCGAACCTCAAACATCACCGATTGGACCGGGTCTGTCTAAACCCCACCCTGTCCGAATGATCTCGTTTCTCCGAAAACAAACAAAAGTACTTTTTGGGTGATTTACCGAGTGAACCGAAGACAAGATCGCTAATCACAACGGACAACACGACACAATAACACAAAGAAGGGGGACAAGAGAGGATGAAGATTTCGGTGGAGTGGGCTGTTCTTCTCCCCTCCCCTCCGTCTCACCCGGGAACGTTATGTCCTTGATCTTTGATCAGGTGTGCGTCGTAGACGCGAATGAACGAACCCAGCGCTTAATGACCTCTGTCTGTCGGGTAAGGAAGTGAGTCACATCAAGATGAATCGATAAATCCTCTCTTGTTCCCCTTCTTTGTGTTATTGTGTCGTGTTGTCCGTTGTGATTAGCGATCTTGTCTTCGGTAACTCACCCAAAAAGTACTTTAGTTTGTTTTCGGAGAAACGAGATCATTGCGGACAGGTTGAGGTTTAGACAGACCCGGTCCAATCGGTGATGTTTGACGTTCGAAACACCAATAATCTTGTGGGGTTCCCAATAGGATGCGGTTGGTTGGATTCACTTGAAGTCGAAAAGGTATGGAAGGTCATTAAACTGGACACTCAACGAACCAATCAATGCGGACAGGTAATAACGACCTATGATTCGTTGAGGTGGTTCGAAGTTGTAGTGAAGTAAGTACGCATTACGTGTGTACGTGCGTGTGGAGGTATGTGAAGTAAGGTCAAAATTTTACTCGACTGCAGGACACAACAGGTCCAACGAATAGTAGAGAGAAAGAATCAGGTAGAGGTTACAGTTAGATCGAAAGGAATAATCCGAAGTGGATGTAATCTATTGTATACCACCACCACCCCCCGACCGGTTTCGTGCTCACGATCGATATAAAACGTTGGAGTAAGTTCATGCAATATGAACACAAAGATGGGCTAATGGGCCTTGCGTTAGACTTTTACTATCCTTATCCTCATGCTCTATCCCGACGGAAACCGAATACTATTGAGCACAGTTGATAGTTCTTCATACACAACTGGAATTAACCATTTCTACTTTTCACAATTGTGGATCACAAACTGGTTTACTTCCATCAGGGACCAGGAATTTGAACAGGGTAAAATAAGACAGGGGGTCGCTAGATTTGTGAAGAGGTGATGTAAGCTCATCAATTGCAGAGGAGAATGGTCTGACCGAGTAGGTACAGACAGTCAACTTTGTATACTATTGGTATACACTGGACAGAATGTCTGTGTATTGCTTGCTAGCCAATTGAATACGGTGAATTCCTTTTAGTATTATATTGATTCTCATATTGGATTCAGAAGTGTGGAATCTTACAGTGGTGTGTATTTGTGAAGTCGATGCTTCCCGAAATGCGTGACCTCCATAGATTACGCTGGTTGGGACATGTGCTACGCATGTTACCAGATAGGTTGCCACGGCGAACGATGTTTGCCAAGGCCGGTAGCGATTGAAAAAAAGAACAAAGGGCGGTCAAGCTAAGACCTGGCATGAGGGTATGAAAACCCTAACCAGGAGACTAGATCACATAGGCTCAAGCTAAGACCTGGCATGAGGATATGAAAACCCTAACCAGTAGACTAGGTCACATAGGCCCCGTTAGGCTCCCTGACTGGGGACCTCGGGATGATGGTCTTCGATGGTTAGCTACACTGAGTGATATGGCTGGGTGTCGCAAACAGTGGCGCTTGTGCATCCACTCGTTATTTTCCTAACACACTCTATATGTATTCCCCATCTTTCGCTTGAATTTGCCTCGACATTCCAATCTTCATTTCGCTATTTTATCCAAATGGTCAACCAAAAGACAGCAACCAAAACCGGCGCACGAAAGTGCATGGTTAATGGTTGTAAAACTGAACTGAACTGACTGAAATGCGTGACACCATGGTGCTTTTTCGTAATTTCAGTTGTCAAAATAACCAATGAAGACTAATTACAATGGAAGAAAAGGGTTACCAGAATTTTGAAAATATGATGATGATACCAGGGATATTGGTTAGATAAAAGATTGCTATTGTTTACGTTACGTACTCATTCAATTATCGATTAGGCAGATTCTCAGGATTTGAACTGACACGCCTAGAACGATTTACATAACCGAATTGTGTTTCTTTTATTTATATTAACAGTTTTTTTAAGATTGCTACTTTTTTATTGAATTAAGAACTTTACCATCATTTCTACTTATTCGAGCGAGCCAGGAGGTAAACGGTTACCACCAAACACATTACACACTGTCACTAGGATGATGTGTCAATCGCTGTTCATGTTATCGAAAAATGTATACCTAAGGGGATATCGTTTCAAACTACTGATTTCCAAGTGTCGACTGGATTGCCGGCGCCAGTCTTTTGCAGTCAGAGTATGCACTACTTCGAACCCCCTTCCCTCTC